ATGAGATGTATTCACCCAATTTCGTTTAAGGTGATGAAGGACTGGTAGTAGAATTTTTCCACAATGATATTTGTAGAGCTGACGTTTCCATTGATTTTCACATAGCCCTGTTTTCCCAAAAGTTGCTCTTATCCAGGGTGGACTACAGTTTTGACCTCGCATCGGTCTTATCAACACCCCCAGCGGGAGTCGAACCGTGACAGTTCAGAATGTGATCTTGACATGTTAACCACTCGACAGCATTGCCACGAGTACCCTTGGGTCACAGGGCAGATGTGAATTTCAAGGAAGACCAGGTCTTTTGCTATAGCATATTCTTTGGTGGGATTGTCGATGAAGCAAATATACGTTTGCTGGGGGTGTTGATAAGACCGATGCGAGGTCGAACCTGCAGTTCACCTTGGATGAGAACAACTTTTGGAAAAGCAAGGTTAATGTGAAATTCAATGGAAACGTTGGCTCTACTCATATCATTGTGGGGAAATTTTACTACCAGTCCTTCATCACCTTAAACAAAATTGGGTGAAAACATCTCGTAATAAGAATGTAGTTAAACTTAGTGCTATTTATTCTAGTATTAATAAAATCTTTAATTTATCCAGTATAGTTATATATGATAATGTTAATTTCCTCTTGGAAAGGGGTCTAAAGTTTGACTTTCCAAATAAGCAAAATCATTCTATGGACAGATTGGTTGAATTAATTAATTTAACAGACAAGTTGCCAGAAAAGAATAAGAATAGTATATTAAGAAAAGTGATTCCTCATTTTGACTATGTAATTATTCCAAAGAAATCTTTTGACTTGAGTAAGATTTCTAGATATTCGCACCAAAATGATCTGTTTGTTTTGAAGGCAGATAAAGGTGGCGCAGTGGCCATCATAGATAGGTTGAGTTATATAGAAAAAATGATGGCTCATTTAGCTGACTTAGAAACATGCAGACTTCCAGTTGAGGGTCCCACAGAGAGTTTCGAGGCAAGACTTAGGGAACAGCTTAACGCTTATGTTAGGAAAGAAGTAATTTATAAGTGAAAAAGGGATGCCAGAGCACCTTCTACTTACGGCTTTCCAAAAATATACAAGGAGGGAGTCCCTTTAAGATTTATTGTAAATAATAAAAGAAGTGGGATGCATATAATTTCACGATTAGTATGCAGACAATTGAGGAAAATGGCTGAGCTTTGGAAATATTTAATGAAGAATTCATATGAATTTTCTAGATTGATAGATCAACAGAGTATTAGAAAGGAGGATCTTTTGGTGAGTTTTGATGTGGCATCATTGTATTACCAACATCCAAATTCAGAAGTTTACTGGAGCACTAGCACTCAGCCAAGATGATCACTCAGAAATTATTGAGGGGGCAAATCTGAGCCAAAGCTCAATCTTAAGACTACTTAACTGGTAATAGGATCTTATCTAGCTTCCATTTTAGCGAATAATTACATGCCAAGGGTGGAGGAACGCTTCATGGAAAAGGTAAAACTAAAACCCAAACTGTTCGTTAAATGAGCTGGGTGGCTACCTTCGAATTTCTTCACCAAACAATCTCACTCAACAATTATAATTATCAAGTGGGTTGACCTCGTTGTCGCAACTTGGTCTTGTTGTCAGGGAGACTATGTAGAATGCACCTAGTCCGAAGTTGTCATCATTCCCAGCATCTAACAGTGGACAGTGGGCAGAGGCCACAATATCTTGGTCTTCATATATTCTATTATTATCACGCGTATTTATCATAGAACAACCTAATATGCTCATATAACTTTGGATACTAATACACGGACTATTCAATTTCATTCTTCTTGCTGACTATTGGGACATTTTTATACGTTAGAAGTGACCAAAGCATTCTTTCCGAGTTATAGCATTTTCCTTTAATCCTCTTGTCTTGTTTTTTTTCCTGCGATTGCGTATGTCCTATGATGTTATATTTTTCTGCTTATGATAATCTCATTGAGTAGTTTATTTTTATCGAATGTTATTTAATTTTATTTCGCTATATTTGCAAAATACGTTTAAGTATACTGATGGTTGAAAGTTATTTTATTTAATACTACATTTTAAACTAATTTTTATTCCAGGTGGAACGACAACTTCTTATTCGCCGTCGCTACCGTGCCAGACAGTCAGATCGAGTAGCCATAGACCGTCGTCTGCGACGACTCGAGCATCGTCTGTCGGCCAGATCCCGCCGTTGCCGAGCCTTTCCTATAGCTTTTTCCGCAGCCGTTTCGCCTTTCCCTCAAATTGGTGCTTCCATCATTGGCTCTCCTCCAGCTCCACCTATCTCAAATCCAGAATCTCCAGTCTCGCCTGACTCTCGCCTATTGGGCCGGCTTCCTGCTACGCCTTGTGATTCCGGCGACAGGCTCTCTGCTCGCGAGCGAGCTCTGCAAGAGTTGCGTCGTTTGGCCGAAGACGAGATGGCCCTTGGGGCCGATTTAGAAGAGGGGGACGAGGAAGATGAGGTCGGAGGAGTAGAGGAAAGCGAGGACGATACAGATGATTTCTGGGGCTCCAGCTATCCAAAGGCAAATACCATGTCTATTTTTGTGTTTATTAACCTATCTTCTCTTATATCTACTTATCTATCTATCCATCTATCTATATTTCTATATTTCTATCTATCTATCTATCTAATTGGCTTTATTTTTCTCCTTTAAATATTTGTGCTCTTCACTTCCCACTTCTATAAACTGCCAAAACATTATATTGTAGGTTGTGATTACCATGAATTATGCGTTTGATAAGATATACCTTTATTAGTATGGCGTTAATAACCATGATAGTGATACTACTGATGATGATTTTAAGAAAGAACCCTAATTCATCAATGAATTTCACCTTACCATACAGGTTCGGCTTACTTTTTTTCTTCACTTAAGCCCTTTAATCACATCTGGTTGGATCCGAACCATGCACGTTTAGGTTCTTGGACAAGCACATTGCCCTCTATGCCATAAGACTCAAGCGCCGTTGGTCTACTAAAATGTCTTCTCTGCCTTAAAGTTGATACCATTGCTATGCAAAATGGGATACATTCTTTAAAATTTCTTTCAACTTTGATGTCTATATCTTACACTAAAGATAGAAAATAGCCCTTAAGTCCAAATTAAACTCCTCTTACCTTTTGTTTATCTATATTAAGGGTTGGGGGCCACGTCGGAATTATAATTCTTCTGCGCATGGTATGTTTCCATCTCTACCATCTCCTCATGGCGTTCAATCCGATCCCGAGGCCCCTGGTATTTGGAGCCGATGCTTCTCCCCTGGTTCGCGTAGCCCTGGTGCGTGGTCGAGTCCGGGCATATACGGCTCAACTGACAGTCCTCGTCTTCAGGACTCGGCTAACGATGCGGCAACGGTGGCTGCTGCGGTGGCGGAGGATGAGACGAAAGAGTGGAATATCTTTCCTGAGGGTTATGATTACGAGGACGCAGAGCAGACTCGACGTCTTTTGCGCGGAATAGGGTCCCATGCCGACAATGATGAGGATGATGATGAAAGAGAAGATGATGCCGAAAATCGCTTACATCTCGGTGGATTAATTGGTTCCAGCGCCAGAAAACGTCATCACTGTCGACATAGAAAATCGAGTCCCGGCTCTCCTGTAAACCGAGAGATTTCATCCCCCCAAAATAGGCTTTCTGGTACCCCTAAAAATAATGCTTTACGCTCCCGACGTTTTGTCACTTTAGCTAGTGTGTTAGGAAGTGATATATCAAGTTCCTCCTCTTCCTCCTCTTCATCTGATGGTAGTTCAGATGATGCTGACTACATCGATGAGGCAGTTGACGATGATGACGATGATGGAGAGGACGACGAAGAAGACGAAGATGAAGCTAGCGTCATCGCATCCCTTCGGGAGTTTATTTGAAACTGTTCTTCTGCCTATATGGCTGAGGAAAGGCTTGTTAGGAGACAATTTCTTTATAGGTCCAATTTTGCTATACCTTTACTTTGTGTCCAAATCGATTTTTATCTTCTACTCATTTGTTTATTAGAGCAACACAAGTCTGCATAAGCTTACCTGATTTGTCAAGTCTCTTCTCAATTTAATAATCTAACTCCTTACTTTGCCAAGCCAAGAATATTGCATTGTTTTTAAGGCCTTTCAAGGTAGCTTCAACTCCATCCTTATATGACACTGGTATTAAGCCCTTCATGAGGTTTAGTTTATAACTTCATGTCACCTACCAAACCAGATTGCAGTACCACGCCAGGGCTACTTGCTCGTATGGTTCTTTCCGAAATTTGACATCAAAAAACGCCTTAAAGTTTTCGAAGTCCTTTTGGCTTTTTCGGTTTCTTTCATTATTATTTTTTCCCCTTGTAAATATGTTTGAATATTAAATGATACGTCATATTCTTTTGCCATTAAAATTTCCAAAGCAAATCATTTGTATAATCTTATGCAGTTCCTTTGGCTGAGCGCGAGCTCTTCTTCATTCGTCTTTAAACGGTGCCTAATGGTCTGGACATTATACATTACCGAGAAAATTCAGGACTAGCTTGATGGTGCAGATTTATTGAAATATTATTTGTCTTTGGTGGAATAACATATATTCTTATTGATAGCACCGATAATAATTGAAAAGTTTACAGTTAG